TGCCTCAATTCTGTCATTCTCCAGCGCCGAGCGCGAGCGCAAAATATGAACGCACTCTGTGTGCTATACTGTCGATTCAGGACGTGGGAGATTACGTATGGCGTAGTTCGCTGCGGACGGTTGGGCGTGTCAGGCGGGATGAGTTTGGCGCGGTGCCAAACCCGTTCTCCACCAGTTGTTAAAGCGAGCAAGTGACAAGTATCATGTCGTTCGTATCACTCGTTTCCTAGCAACTGTTGTCGCGCACCTGCTTCAACAGCTGGCAGAGAACGGGTTTTTTCACTGCTCATACTGCCTGACACGCCCTTTCGTCCGCAGTGAAGTACAGCTTAACTAGCGGAGAGGGTAAGATACCGTAGTTCGCTGTGGATGAAGGGGCGTGTCGAGTAGTATGAGTGTGCCACGGTGCAATAAGGCTCTCTGTCATATATTGAAGCTGGTAGTGAGAATAGGTGGTAGAAAACGAGTGATACGAACGATGTGATACAGTCTCGTCACTTGCTCGATACAACAACTGTGGAGAACGGGTTAGACACTGCGCCAAATTCTTTCCGCCTAACACACCCCTTCGCCCGCAACGAACTATCTCTCTCGAAGATTTTCCCAATCAAGACACATTACCTTTCCTTCGGGGATTCTTTGGAAAGTGATTGTGAGTGCGAACGCGACCTACCTAAAGCCGCGTTCACACCTTTCGAGGGTGAAGAACTGATGGAATGAAGTATTGACCAAAAGGATTAGATATGTATCGATGTATTTCCGCAATTCTGTAATACTTCAGAGCGATACCTATCTAATCGTTTTGGTCGACGGTTCATTTCTGGCATGTCTTCATTTCTCAAATCGTCACGTATCGAATTATTTTCGACCATTCTTCGATTTGTCGGTTTTTCACTGCCGCAAGGTATTGACGCGGCCTGACAGATAAAGTCGTGTGGAAGGGCAAAGTCATGCCAAGAAACTCATGACAAAGAAGAGCACGAAAATAGTTGAAAATTAAAAAGGACTCACCTCAGGTTGAGATTTGAAGACGCTCACGATATTAGCTAGAGCTATAAACGTTATGAAGAAACTGATCGCAATGTAGCTGCTGATCGAAGGAAAAGGAGTTCGACTCAATCGCAGAACACTGGAGAAGCCAGTGTGTATATTACGTCGCGGACGATCCATCGTTTGGGCCTGAAAAAGGAACTTCTCAAAAATTATTTTTCAATGCATGATCGTTCCGAAGTTCACCGAAAATGTCTGCTGCATCAAGAAGGCCGCCTCACTACTCGACATGGAAGTGAAATGAGATTCATTCGACGATGAGCTCCGATGCCTAATCGGTAATCCAACAATATCACTCCAGATGGATATATATAAAGCCACACTCCGAAGAAACAATAGACAAAGCATATAACAATTTCAGTAAATAAATCAGTACTGCTTCTATGCGAGTTCGATTCGGTATCACTTACCATTATGAAGATCTAGTAAGTGTGTGGGATAACCGGATGTATAGTCGTACGTGAAGCGCTAGGAATAGGTGGAGGTCCTGCTGCGAAAGGCCAGAGCGCAGAGAAATAGAAAAACTGCGACTGCCAAAACGGTTACGTGACAACTAAAACTTTTGGTGGGGGTCCTGCCACGATAGGCCAGAGCGCAGAGCAATAAGGGACTGCTACTGCCAAGGCATCGTGAGGTACAAAAAACACGATGCGAGCCAGGATGAGTTTTTTCGAGGGGAGGGGACACCGGGGTGGATGAGCCACTTAGTATGCGTGAAAAGTTGGAATGTGAAAGGTCAAAGTGGCCATAAATCGCCACTCAGGCAAGAGAGCGCAGAGAACAACAGAAAGTTGGCGCCATTAAAGGGATTGAGTTTTAGTTGTCCGTAGGCCTGCCAAAACGAGAGGTACAGAAACCATCTCGCGACACAGTACATAAATCTTTTTAGAAAGAGGGAACACCGCAGTTGATGATCCACTTGTTATGCATAAGAAGTTGGAATATGAAAGGTCAGTGTGGTCACAGAAAGCCAAGCAGACGTGAGAGCGTCGAGAAAAAGAGAAAGTTGGCGCCGTTGAAGGGATTCAGTTGCATTCGTCCGCAGACCCGCGAAAACGCTGCTGCGCTGGTGACCCTGGTGTTCTCTAGATCGATACCTTCACTTCCCCAGTCCCTCGAGACGCTGATGGACGCGGCGCTAACTATGAACGAGCTTTAGAGCGCATTCATAACCAGCGTCAGCGTTTTGAGCGTACGGCAGCGCTGAGCTTTGAGCGACTAGGGAAGTATATACATCGATCTAGCGTTTTGAACGTCCTCGAGGGCTGTCCTGAGCTTTCAATGGGCAATCGTTGGAAACGGAACGCACGTGCTATGGACTGTTAAAAAGGCGAATCCGATAAGGTTGTTTATTACCTTCCTGGCAAAATAAGAAAACATAGAGGCACCAAGGTTTTTTTGCAACATATTCCAGAGATTCGATAAGGAAATCAAACTGGACTCTTTTCATGGATGCTTTAGAGAATTCTTCTATGAAATATTCACATATATCTACAAAAACGACGTTCATCGAAAGCTGCACATGACAATTTAACATTGTATTGGTTCACAATGGGGATTGATCGATCCGCTGAAGCATTAAAAGAGCATGCAATATAAATATATGAATCTGGCCAAAAGCGATAACAATGCCAAATAATGATTGATTAGGTTTTTTAATCAGTATGCAGAGGATTTCTGCCTACATAGAATATTCCATTTTCTTCTATTTTGTACTGTGGGAAAAACTTTCAAAAATCTATGCTTCACATTATCCTCGCTGCTTAGGAAGTTCAGGTGCCACCTACCATACCGACCTTAATTTCAAAGAACTCAAGCACATCGTGGGAATAATCCTGTCCCGGAGAAAGTCAGGCCGCGTTCATACACAGCGCCTCCGCGGCCTCCGTGGCCTCTGCGGCAATTTTTAGAATAAGCAAAGTATACGTATCGATTTGAAATTCCGCGGAGGGCAACGCAGCCTCCGGGCGCTCGTGACTGAAAACGGAGTGGCGGGCGTTCCTGGCAGCGTGCCAAACCATTTTGTAAAGACCTGTAAACTTTAGTTAAACGACCTGCCATAGAGCATCGAAAACTTTTAGAATCTCAACTCCAAATGACAAACTATTTATTTCACTGTACGCTCAGGAACAACCTGGAAAAACGCTGAAACAGTTCAGAAATAAAACGCTCACCCAGTTTCGAGTAGGATATTGCTAGACAGAGGAACTGGCTCACCCTCCCATGAGACTCCGTGGGAATTAACATTAAATTACCATTCAGGCTCACAATCATATCTTCGCGCTTTAGAGCACTGAATGCCGTTCAACATAATAAAAGAACAAAGAGGAAATGGCGGGAAATGCAGCTCGCTCTATTTCATGACTTTACAAGTGTTTACAGGTTTTCACAAGAAGGCCCGGGACGTTGACAGAAATTAGCAAAGTGCCCCCCTCCCACTTTTCTTGTCCTGTACTAAATCTTATGATAGGTATAGAGTGGTGAATAAGCTAAATCGAATAGCGCATAGGACCGTAAGTGAGATCATATAAGAAAGCTTCAAACCATAGGCTGCTTTGGCAATCTCAGATTTGTGTTCATATGTAGCATTTCTGCTTCTATGAGGGAATACATCACAATAGGGGGAATGATTGTCCTCAGACTACTGATACATAGAAACAACTTACTTTGCATTTAACAGCAATCTAACATCGCCTAGCGTGAGTCGCACCAAAAAACCATTAAGTCTTCAGAATTGCAAGAAGTCTCCCTTCTAGAGGTCGAGTTTACACTAGACAGCTGAATCAAGGCAAGCTTCACGTCGATCACGGGTCCATGTGAACAAATGGTGCCCAGCATCATGCGCGGCCGGCGACGTCGCGTTTCCCTCCCGGACGAGTCTCCTCGGAAAAGGCGCAGCTGTTCGATTGGAGCAGAGTTGGCGTGAGAAGAGGTAACCTTCGTTTACTTGATATTTCTGCTGTGATTCTCCTTCAGAGCCTTGGGCAGTTTGGTTTGATATTGAGCTATTTTCAGACTCAGAATAATCCCACTCTTTTTGGTGGTGTAAACACGAAATCGTTTGAGGATGTCGAGTGGGTTCGTTACGTCTGATGAATTGGAAGAACAGCGGCGGAAGCGACAAGAAGAATGGGAAAGGGTGCGAAAACCTGATGATCCTGTAGGTGGGTATCTTTGTGGGGCTATCTTGCAATACTCTTTCGCGAGTGAAGGTTTGTGGGGAAAAATGGGTTACCATTCTGTTGCAGAAGCCCCGGAACCTGAAGTTTGCAACAAATCTTTATACGAACAACTCAGGGATAATAGGGAGGCCAAACAGGCTGAAATTGACGAAGCTAAAAAGTTCAGTGAGTCTACACTTTTTTAATTACAGATAATTTCTCAAACCAGGGTGCTGAAAATTGAAGTTTGTACTAAAGTACGAAGTGTTGCAACCATTTAAGTATATGGTTTACTGAACCTTTTCCGTGCTTTTTAGAAAAGTTTTCTAGAGCTGCGGTGCTTTGCAGGTCAGAGACTATCAACGTCCTCAGTGCATACCTCGTAGGAAATGGACTGAAACGGGGTTTTAAAAGCTGTTTGACTAACCTCTTTTGGGACTTATATAGACTGCAGTTCATACGTGTTTCCACGATGCGTTTAACGCGTTCTCGGGTTAACAAGGCAAAGTAAACATTGATTCATGTTTGGGCTAGAAAGAAATTAAGCTACGATCTCAGAGACGCTCGAAGCGCTAGACGCTTTCCTTTCGCGAACACACTGGCGGTTCTCCCAAATAGCTCGGAACCGACCAACAGTATGGAAGGAGTCACCCGCCAAGCACGAAATAGGCGTGTAGCGAGTTCCCCTTCAGTTTAGATTCGTTTTGTGGAACTAGTTTTGCATACTGATAGATATGAAGACACAGTTGCCCACTGAACTGTCTATGCCTAACGAAGGATTCTGTCCTGAGCACTAACAACTTAGCCGAATTCCATATCGTTCGAAAAACGGTCATTTCATCATGCCTGCATTTAATGAACAGTTTGCCAGGGTTTGGTCCCTATCCACTATAAATTTAAAAACAAACAAAAGCACCTTCGTTGGAATAGGAAGCATAGAGCGGTGGGAGCGAATTTCGAGACCAAACGTCGAAATCATAGTGGCTCTTATCATTCCTCACTGGCCAACAATTCCCTTTCCGGTGAAACTCGAGCGTTTAGCGGTGGAAGCAATTCCGACCGCTAAACTGAGGGATATTGCTAGGAATAGAAATTTGGCCACGGATTAGTGTGGAGCAATAAATACGGGTCCCAAAAGCCTTGTCAGAGACTACAAGAGATTTGTCCTCCGCCTTTAAGTTCCCTGAGCACCACCTGAAATTGACTTGCTGAGAGCGTTGCAACAAACTCGCTGCTCGTGATTTTCGGGGTATCTTATCAGCTTCTTATCATATCTGCTACAAAACCAATAATGTCCATCCTGCACACTATCTTCGCCGCTGGGAATCTCCAGCCGTCCCGTTTGAGCTGGTCAAGACGGTCATGAGGCTAGTGTCCCTAACCCTCTAAGGCTCCCTTATGGTAATTATCGTTTCCTGCCACCATAGCAGTAAATGGTTCTCCCATCCTGCCCGCCGGCATATGCTTACCTACTTGTAACCACCGTCCGGCGTGCTCTGGCCCGGTGCTTATGAATTCGGTAACTCACATTCTTCTGAGGCTCCTACTCGTAATAGTTACAGATGTTTTCTGCCGACCCCACCCAATAATGTTCCATCCCTGCCCCCCTATCTGTACTTCGTGGAACCGAAAGGTCTCTCAGTGTGTATGGCCCCGCCTATAATTCTGGTTGTGTCCTCCCTTATAAGGCTGCTCGCGTTCGTGGTCTGAGCTCTTTCAGTTGCTGCACGAGTATAATAGTGTTCCTTAGCCGACCCCTCCATGAGCTTAATCAGGATTTGAGCGCTCTATCACCTCTTTTGAGGTTATGAATTTCCGGTCAACACACATTACACACAACACACAACAGTCACACATCATCACAGGGTCACCGACACACACACACACACACACACACACACACACACACACACACACATAACCAACAGACAAACTTAGCGGATTATATATACCAGTCGGATCGCCCGGCTGACGCCGAGCTCTCCTCCTTCTTTTCAGCTCGGCTTCGCCGAGCTGTCCTGGCTTCGCCAGGCGCACGGAAAGGAATTTGTTATTGCCTGAGCTGCTCATATTGCGCGCTAGTGGTCGAATCATAATAGACAGAGTAACCTAGCGAAATCTGTATCCCCCTCATAAATGGCCTGCTGGGTGTTGGCCATAACGACCCATTCGTAACCGCAATATTACGAGACTCTGTAAAGAAGTACACGAATATCTATATGTGTTGCATCAGTAGGCGAATCCAAATCCCGTTTTGTATTACCACCGCATCACCACGACACCCAACGGGTGGGCGATTAACTTCGTCATCTAAACGTGGCAACTCCACTCAAGGTTGCATGAATGGCTGCAGATGGACAATATATAGGCCTGCGTGATTGTGAATATCCGACAAACGTAGCTTCGTTAATCTTTCCATACAGCATGATGTCAAAGTTGAAAACAAGAAAGAGTTAACTCCTGAACGCATAAAGAGTGTTCCAAATATTGAAGTTTTTGATTTTTCCATAATTCACACCGTTTCAGGCGATAGCAATATATATATATATTACTTAAGGTTGATAACATATTAATATAGTAATTATATATAGTATATATCATATATATATATATATATATATATATATATATATATATATATATATATATATATATATATATATATATATATATATATATATATATATATATATATCCTATCAATATATAGATATGAGTATTATAGTAATATATGGCAGTATAACGATAGGTCAGAAGATTTGTGAGGAATGTCCCTATCTTTTACATAATCAACTGATAGAAATCGCTTGTCAACCCGTCATCCAATGTGCGCTGGATCGACTAAAACTGGCACATAATTTCGTGTGAAGAAGTCTTCAGCATTTGCCTAAAACAACTGATCGTTTTCTATCAGACCTATTCAGTTATCATCCTGTTCACCCTCGCCGTCGCTATCTCCAACCTTCTCTTGATACCATTTTGACTGAATAAGCGCCTAACGGGTGCTAGATTCCCAGCGTTAATGAGTAGTTGTCCTTTTGCAGCTCTAACTCCCCTTATCAGCAGCTAGCAGTTCTTGTCACCCACATATCCCTGTGCCGTAACCTATATCATACCTTGGAACAAACGCCCCAGTGTTCCAGTGGGACTCCCCCTCTGCTTCCTTCCTTGTGCGCATGCTCAGATTGGCTGAGCACCGCGCAGGGGAAGGAAGCAGAGGGGGGGCGCCCAGTGCCCCCCCCCCTCTCTCGGCCCCACCCCACCCTGCCCCCGCACGAGCACACGTCCAGCTGCCGACGCGCACAGCTCGTGCAATGGCATCGGAAGCTTACCGAGCTGGTTGTCTCTATATAAACGTAGGCCGATAATCTACGTTCGAAACATTGGATGATACTTCCGCAACCGATTGTTGCCCACGTTTGGCCTAGCGGTCGTTTGAGCGCCTACCAGCGATCTCGAACGCCGTGAAAGGGCATCCTTTGCGGACGACATACATACAAACAGACTATCTTACCGTACATACTAATCACTTGGCACAACCGACACAGACAAAGTTCTAGAGAGTTAGTAAGGATAGAAGGATGTAGATACGATGGGCAACCTTACGAATCTAATTGCAACTCCTCGAACGTTATTTGTTCAGACTCATGTCAGAACTGGTGGTTCGAAACTTCTATTAAATAGTTACTCAGTGTGTAAGTATTTGAAATAGTTTGCGAGTTTGGCGCATAACTCCTAATTCAGAAACATATGCACGAGGTATAGATGAAAGATGCCAAGCGATTCTTCGGCTCGAGGTCAATGAAATTAAAGTCGGAAGAAGTTACGAAAGCGAAAAACGTAACCAGCTTCCAAATCATTTCTTTTGATTTTTTTTTTCAAAACCTTGAAATTTCAAGAGATCAAATCTTTACAGGAAGAAGAGGAAGCCATCAGAGAAGCCGCTCTTGCTAGGAGTAAACAAAACCTCATTGAACCACCAACGATATCTCAACTAAAAGTATTACCTAAGGATGATAAGCCTCAAAAGTCCAAACAAGCAGCTATATTGTCTTCTGCTATTAAACGGAAGTCGTGAGTTTTGTGTACCTCATTCTGTACTATTCGCTTTATTCGCCACTTTGTCTTCACATGACAGCATTGAAGAGCGAATGACAATGGTGAAAATTCTGCTGAAAAAGTTAAACGTACCGAAGATGTTGCGAACAGCACTCAACCACCTCAACCTGCAATGTCAGCAATGAGGGTTGTCGGGTCTATACCGGGTATTGGCAGTTACGACGCTTCCAGGTAATCATTATTTTGAAATGTGCTTGGAGTACTGGACTTGTTGATTAAAACATCTCAATACGGATATTCTTTGTCTGCTTGACAGAATTTATGCATTCTGATCCGGCTTGCCGCGGAATTCCGATCCATTCCTCTTTATGGGGTCATTTATGAGTTCAGCTGTTCAGCTGCATCACCAAGGTTGAAAGGACTACATCAAGACCAGGCGCTATGGATTGCGGTCTTTGCCGCTTTTACCCTCCTTTCAACCATGCTCCGCCGATAGTTTACAGCTAGCTTTATTTTGTTGATAAATTGAAGTGAATGAGCATCTGACTAACTTAGGTATTAGGGTGGGACAGCTCATCAGCCTTGTTTAAACCTTTTCTGTGTACTTAAGGGAGGCTCCAGAGAAAAAAGACTATGAATTTGTTAACTTAGTACGAATTCAGAACATATTTTTTCTCTGGGGTCCCCTACCATTATGGTGCCAAACATCGACCACACAAGCAGGTTTGGACCCATTTGTTTTACGAATATCCTCTGGACCGGAACTGAGTCGACACTATTGTGGATATATATTCTTCTTTGGGTGAGGGAACGATCTTCTATCCCACCCCTGAGAATTTGCTCCGAAAGTTTGAAAATGACGACTCCACATCGCTGAAGGTAACCCTACCGGTCGACACTGGTGATCGTTGTATCCCATTCTCTAGAGCTCATTAAAGACGGACATCGACGCCCTCTGACCGAAGCGGATGCGCGTGATCTTGAAGGGCGTCCTGAAGGACAAAATCATGCAGTTGCTTGCCTTGCAGCATGCTGGGACGTTTTGAACACTTGGGGCTTTTAGGCAGCTCATGAGAACAGCGTTCACCAGGAAGTGTTCAAGCTTGTGAGCATGGAGTCCTCAACTTGTTCACGGACTTTTGGATGACTAAAGGATGTAGGAACCGCAGATCAAAATTAGGATTTCAATGATTCGAAGAAACCCCAACGTAACGAGTAATAAGGATTGTGGGCTGATACTCCACATAAACATTTCGAACATGTGCTGAAATCTTAGGTCTCTGAAGACGACGAAAAGATCAAACTTGAGCTTGGGTCAAGGTTACGGCAGGGCTTAACGTCACGGAAAATCGGGTGGCTGGAAGTGCACAAAGTGGACCTTCAAAAAAAACCTCAAACTGGCGCCGACCCAAGCAAAACAACCATTGAGCACATTGCAGCCGCGACACGTATTGAGACTGGTGCTCTATAGGTTCATTGTATTCGCATAATTTTTTTTCAAAGGGTATAACTTCATTCGAACACCATCTTTCACAGAGTGATGAGAACGATTCACATTGAATGGGCGGGGTCTGACAAAATACACTACAGCTTTCATTAAGCTTGCATGACGGCTTCAGGTCAACAAATAACGCGGAGAATTTTGGCGAACACGAGTTTTTTTACCTTTTAAATGCCACAACTTCATTCAGACACATCTAGAACGGAGATCTACATGGCACTGGAAACTAGGAGGTGTTCTCTCTCTTGAGTGCAGCATCTTTGCCGTGGCTTAACTGTGGCGAAAATTCGTCCGTCGCGGACTTCGCTTTGAAAGTCACCTTCAGCCACAGTATGAGGATCTTCCCCCTTCCCCGTTAAGCCCACTTTTCCATCTAGACAGCTCGATAGGCTTTACTTACGCCTTCTGCTTTTATGGTGTGTAAGGGCTGCAGCATAGAGGTGCTAATCAACTCCTTCGTGGAACGCGCCATGTCCTCGACTCGCCGACCGCATCACCCATGCTGCTGCTTGACCCTGGGTTACCCTCATTTCACAGGTACGAAGGCACATCATCACATAACAGATCATGCCACATGACGTTTCCCACTAATCCGCTTCAACAGCTGGCAGGTGTTCTGCAAAACCAGGCCCCTTCATCCGCAGCGAGCAAGATTGTGGGAAGGTTGGTAGGATAAAGGAACGCGATGACTTCCCAGAGGAGGAAATTATGAGGGGGTGGTATTTTGCAAATGCAGGACGCGTCCTTCATATAACATATCGTGTAGAGTTTTCAACAAGGCTCAATATGAAGGACTGTAAGATGTATTTGTACTATTCAGCCAAATTATATAGAGGCACTGGTGTAATTCCGTGAAATGTTGTAACTTGGAGTAAAGTAGATATCGCTTTAGCGACAGTGCTTCCTCGGACAGTGAGGACGAGGAGGATCCGTATATCCCTGTTCTGCAGACAACGCGTCCGCAGAAGAAGAGTTCCTGTGAGGAATGAGCATCCTGATCACTGATGAAGTTTATCGCATGCAAAGCTGCGGTTGTAACCTTGGCGCCCCTCCTTCATCTGTAATTTCGCTTTGGCTAGAT